CCTCTGATTTCGTTCGGGGAGTGTATGAGTTTCGTCTCGGGTGGTTTCGTCCTGTATGAATAGTTTTTTTGGTTGGAAGCGGACGAGTCTGAGGAGGGATAGTCTTTGGATGGGGTTTCGTCCTGTGTTCAACTACCCAGCACCCCTGATTTCGTTCGGGGAGTGCATGAGTTTCGTCTCGGGTGGTTTCGTCCTTGCAACCATGAGCTGTGTCTTGCGATTTAGTGTTGATAGACTTTTTCTTTGAATTTACTAATCATTATATTGTCAATAGAGCGAGAAGAAATCGGATTTAGTAAACGAATACTGGGATAGTTTTATGTTGCTACAAAAACGGAAGTTTACAACTATTGCTGAACGCACGGCACTGTTGGTATGGAATGTTTGACTTATCGATATCTCAATACGCGTGATGAAATCCTAACATCTCTGCTCAAAGGAGGAGCATACAACAAATGTTATGGCTTCGATGTTCAAACAAGATCTGATTGTGCGAGATGATTTTACAAAACAAGAACGAATTGTACGAAATAAGTTTGCGAGACGCCTAGAGGAGACAGACCTGTCGTACAAAAGTAAAGAAAAGGTAGAATAGATCCATAAACAGTGCGTTAGTTTATTGTTTTTTAATAAACAAAATTGAAATAAAAGCAATTTAACTCCTTTCGTATCTAGTCCGACGATGATTTCATGCCTATCCGTAAACCAAAACGGAAAATAAATTTATCGTTACGAAAGGTTAAGATATTGATAAGGCATTAAATTTTATGCAATCATTTTTTAATTATTTATTTTATCTACAGAATAAAGAGTCGGCTGATTTGGCTGTATCTAAGAAGGTCAGTATAAAATGCATCCTATGATGATAAGGGTTTATTAACATGAATTTTTCTCAAAATTTTCTATTATTTTTGCGTGAATAGGCCAAAACCACGAAGGAAATGCCATTATAATCAGCAGGAGTAATACAAAGAGGGACACTAGGAGAAGCAACAATACTGCCAGAGTCATCGTTATTGAGTTTAGAAAGTGTAGGGTCTAGCTCAGAAATAACGACCAGCGGTACAGACGAAGCTAATAGCTCTGGATACAATAGACCACAAACTCCTCATCAATTTGCTAGAAATATATACGACCAAGATTAACGATCAATGAAAATATTCTAATAATATCTGCTAAAAGCTTAGCGAATCTAGATGAAACCAAGGTATTTGATTATGTTATTTTATCTGAATTTTTTGTGCATATCGTAAATACTCAATCAATCGTTTTCATTGAGTAGTATCTCGGCGAATTTATTCCACTTTTTGTATAATATAAAGAATCAGAAGAAAATAATGCATATTCGTGGGTATTTGAACTGCTTTAAGATGTATATTATAATGTTATAGTCAATATCTTCTCATTTATAGTTGTGCTAACGATGACGTAATGGATATTCGAGGGGAAAGTGGTTTTGCGAAATTTTTGCCAATCGATAAATTTATAAAATTACTAACAAAAAAACCAAGCAGAAAAGTTGTTACCGGAAGACTGGCGTAGTATTATTGAAGAGTATTATAAGGTAATATAGAATCCTATAATTTGCATTTATTATTCACAAGAATTATTTATTGATCGATCATATTATTTTACAGGGGACAAACGAGAATGGGTCAAAAAAAAGTGTATCTGATTGGATCCTTGCTGCACGGGAGTTGAATGTTGTAAAAAACTTTGTAGAGACCAGTCATGGTCTAAAGTAAAGTAATCGTCCACCTGGATTCCTAACGAAATAAAAGGTTTGATACTCATAACTGACAGAATGAAGGCATTAAACTGCAAAAAAATTTACCTTCCATTTTTCTGATTTTTTATTTTGTATTTGTACGAGATAAAAAACTTTGTTTATATATACGAGACTCCGTGCCGTCATCACATGACATGCATGTGATCGTACTGAAGAAATTCCAAATATCCTGGAGTCTTTAAAAAGTTTGACCGCTTAATTTTTTATTACAAGCCAGATATGGGCAAATTATTTTTCATTGATAGCAAACATAAAATTTATATTTGACAACATACAATTATACATAAAACAATTAAACATTTTTTTTCGTAAAATAATATATGAGAAAGGGCCGGCCGACTAAAATAAAGGTAAAAAATAATTAAGTAGCAGGATATTTCAAGGAAAGAAAGGCATAAAAAAAACATGCCTGCTTGTTAAGCCTGCCAAGCCTTAACCCATATAATGGCAGCTTCTTTCCTGCTACTAGGGTTCCTAACAGTACTATTTCAGTACCAAGTCAGTACTGGATTTATTATGAGTTTAATATAATCTATATATTAATTTTATTATAAGTTGGTATTATTTTGATACTTGGTTTGGAACCCTACCTGTTACTTAGTTTTTTTTTTTTTTTTAATTCCACAATCAGGTTAATGTCATTTATTTATTAAATCATAAAGAACCATTACAATAAATTTTTCTGATTCTATTCACTCATCAACAGTTAAAGCTTCTAGATATGATTTATGGGGGTGATATGTTATTTCTCTAAAGAATGAAATTATGATCCTGAACTTCCAATAGAATCAAAACCTGCAGATCATCTTTTCATAAACCCAAATTGTGTCACCCCCTCTTATAGTAACTATGCAAGGGAAAAAGAAATAAAAAAAGGAATTTTTTGGACAAAAAAAAAGAAAAAAAGCTATTGTTTATTCTAACTATCATTGAAAAGGTTATCTCTATAAACTTTAAAACCCAAGCTCCTTATAATTCCTCACTTCTTACCACTTGTAACTAGACAAACTGTTTTATTTTTATTGAAGTAATCGATGTCCAAGAATGTTTAAGAGCACTTTCAGAAAAGTATTTCTTGAAACTTTATACTTGAAGACTTTTAATAAGAAAGAATATTGGTTTTCTATTATTGATTTCTCTTCTAAGCCATGTCTTCTGGAATTATTGCTTCATTCAACCAGTGAATAATTTCAAGATCTCTTTCTCTAACTATTTTTGGGATAAATATTAATATTTCAACTTGTTACTAGATTGAAATAGGACCTAGACCTTGTTACTACTTTCTGTTCTCAAGAAAAAATAGAGAAGAAAAAAAAAATAAAAAGATAGAAACAAAAGGTGATTGCTCCTCTTATATTTACAACTTAAATTTCATCTAATACTCCATATTACTCCTTCAACTAAAAACTATCCAACTCTTTCAGGAACTAATCACATCATCAGTTTGGTATTGCATGACTGGAAACACGTGAGGAGTATGTATCTTGTTTACTTTTTCTGTAACTGACATAATCAACCAATCCGTGGCATAACCAATTATTTTTCAGGAAATCTGGTGTGACCAAAAATTCAGGGTCAAACTGAGATAGGCAAAATTCTCCAGAAAAATCAAGAAAAAGGAAAGTATGCTTAAGAAGAAAGAAGTGTAAAGCCAAAGAGATAATAAAAAGACTAGAGACTTTTTTATTCTTGTTTTTCTAGATTCTTGAATCTTTTGAAAATCTTTAAAGAGTATTTTTTCTTGTTAGTTTTCTTTCTATAAAGGTGTTTTTGCCATAAACCTTTTAGATAGGTTTCTTGTATTTAGTCGCAAAAATAAACAAAAAGAGTATTTTGAAAAGGAAAAATAAAACAAGTGATAGCTTCTGCTCATTCTGCTAGTTAAAAAACCAATGTTGTTAAGATGAGTATATAGATTTTATTATTATAAAAACATAAAATCTTTTGAAAATATCTATTTTTTGAATTGGCAAAAGGATCAGTGGAAAGAGTTTAATAATGTTTTCTCTTATCTGTTACTTAGTATGTTTTCCAAGTTTTTATTTCTTATAATATTTTAATAATAAAAATTTTTTATTGTATTTTTTTAATTACTATATATTATTTGGTAATTCTAATATAATATGATTTTTGAAAGATATCTGAATTTAATTCTATCATATATTGTATATAATTTTAACTCATATTTAAGAATATTATTTGATACAATAGTATACTAAAGAATAATCTTTATACTTTTAATTTTATTAAAGATAATTTTGAATTATAAAAACAATATTTATAAATATTTGATTTAAGTTTAAAGAATTTGATAAAAAGAAGAACTCTTTCTGCTGATCCTTTTGCCAACCCAAAAAACAGACGTTCTCAAAAGATTTTTTGTCTTTATGATAATAAAGTCTATACACTTTTCTTAA